CCCCAAAACCCCAAAACCCCAAAACCCCATTCGTCTAAATTAATATATATACTTGGAAAATTAAAATATAAATAAATAATATATTTTTAAATGGAATCAAAATAAATTAGTTTGAGACTTTTATCATCCTCTGCATTTCATGTCATTCTGGAATTCTTAACAAATAAAAATAAAGTATTACTGCAGGCGCTGAATAAGCTATTTTATAAGAGAGTTGTTCCTTAAAATACTTGGCTAGTATTTCTTTAGGATGAAAGTATATAACGAGAACAATTTCTTAAACGCACTCTTTGGAGAGCAGAAAGCATTTGTGATAAGCCTACCATGCTGCTGCATTAATATCAAATTTAGATGAAGGTATTATTCGATCTCACCTATTATCAAATAAAATTGCACAATTCATCAGGGATTAAATTCATGAAAATAGGAGTTCCAAAACCAGATCCTTTTAAATAATTAAATGGCAGTTTTGATAAAGTCTTTATTTATCGTGAAGAAGTGAATTTCATTCTTTTCAATCCAACCAATCTCGAGCATTTGAATTGGGAGAACAGAAAATCGCCTTATTCGAGATATGCATATAGATAATCCATTGTGGGCTCTGAGAAAATTATAAGTATATCCAAGCTACAATTCAGGATGATTTTACAATCAGCATTTTGCTTTGATCCTTCAGGAATTTTAGCTATAGCAGGTGGATACCAATTAAATAAGACAAAGGGAGCTAAGAAAAATAAAGATAAAGATAAAGATAAAGATTAAAATAAAAATAAAAACAAGAAAAATTCTTAGAACAAAAATGGAAAGAAAGAGATCCAACAAGAATTCGAGCCTGCAAAAATAACAAAAGCTTACAACTTTAAGATTATTACTTACGATATTAAGATAAGCTAATGGAATATCTTAGAATAAGAGCTTTAACACCAAAGGCAAAATGCTAGTGTTTGCCTTTAAGATGACTCCTTTTATGTGTTTGGAGGATGCTATTAAGATGAGATAACTTTAAAGTACGAAAGATAGACTTACATAGAGAGATTTAGTATTGCTGACTAATCTATTAAATACAATCCTATAAAACTGAGAAAATCTATTCTTCCACGAAATACTGCATTTGCGTATCATATTGAAGATTAGCAATTCCTAATATTTGGAAAATAGGAAATACCTGATAAGTCCCTTGAAGATAAAAAATTGAAACAAAATATATAAAAGAAATTTTCAACAGAAGACTAAAAAGAATAGATATCATTAAAATTATAATGTTTCAAACTTGATTTGAGCTATGATAAAATTTGGAGATTCAGGGATAAAACTGATATGAAAATTCCCAAGTCTATATAGAATTAATACCTTGAAGCCACAAGTACCATGGATATTTAGTAATCAATAAGGATGAGACATGATTTGATAGCCTCTACAGCTTTAGGATACTATCATTTCAATTTTAGAGAGAGATAATTTGAGTTTAAATTAGGACTTTGATTAATATATTTCTTAAGCTTAAATTTGATTCATACTTGATTTTAGTCTTTAAATATTTGAAGCATTGTTTAGCACAATGGGGTTTTGGGGTTTTGGGG